GATTTTCAGTGTAGTTGTTCTTCTTACAAAAGCCCTGAAGAAAAGTGGGTCTTACCAACACAGATGCCAATGATAAGTATACCAATTTAATCACTAAGCTAATTCAATCTCTAAAATTTGAAGAAGAAATTACAAAATCCAAAAATGCAATATATGCATATAAGAATTTTTCTTCAAAAAATCTCTCCCTGAACTTGCATTTAAAGATAAATCTTCGTTGCATTTTATTTTCATATTTCAAAACAGGTTTAGACTTGTTAACCAACCCAAGGTCTCTTCTAGGAATGGCGGGGGGTTGACATGATTTTCTAACTCATAATTCCATGTTATATCTGCTATTTACTCTTTGGTGACATTCTCCATGCTTCAATTAAAAAAAAATCACAAGAACTTCTATAAGCCCAGAATGGTAAGTTACAGATTTAATTCTGTCAGTTCTGACTTAAAGTATATAACTTAACCTGAGAATGGTATTTGTTTTGTATTTTAAATAAACCTCATATTTAAGATGTACAACATGATATGCACATATTATAAAAATGGTTATGCTAGTGTAACTTAGCAAATCTATCAATCTATCATAGATTTAAATGTGAATCTATAATCTCACATAATAATAATAATAATCATGAAAGCATTAAATACAAGCAAATTCTTCTTGAAAACACTTAATTTCTTCTTCTGCTTCCAGATGCTTGTGCATCTGGAATCTACTCATTTAGGAAAAGTTCTGAATGCACTGAGTATATTATTACTGACTGCACCTATCTCTAGGTTTTACATGGCTGCTTTGTATGACTTAAAAAGAAAAGGCATGAGTTTGGTACAAATTGTATAGTAGAACAATGTCAAAGACTAAATTCATTAATAAGTAATCCAAGAAAACTATAAAGCTGAGACAAAGGGATATTGTGGATAGACAATGAATTGAAGACAGAATATTGAGATACAATTAAGTTCCAAGATGTGCGTTCATGCCTGTCATCCTAGCTATTCAGAAAACTAAGCTGAGAACTACTGTTCTCAAAGTCTGGGCAGGAAAGTCTGTAAACTCTTATTTCCAATTAACCACTGAAAATCTGGAAGTAGAGTTGTGGTTCAAGTAGTAGAATGCTAACCTTGAGCAAAACAAAACAAACAAAACTCCAGGACAATGATCAGGCCTTGAGTTCTAGCCAAGACTGGCACTAATAGTAATAGTAATAATAACAATGATAATAATAGTAAGTTTTATATAGAGCAATTGATGTTCTTCATGGCAATGAAACTAAAACTTTTTGAATTATCTTTTTTTTTTTACTAGAAAATGTAATTTGTATTACTCCTTAGCAAAAAGCATTGACACATTTATGCATTACTTCTTTTTTTAAAAAAGTTAACACCACACTTCGCAGCTTCAGCCTAATCAATAAGTAGTATAGAAATATATTCTTCTGTTAAATTGGATAATCTTTGAGGGAGACTGTAAGACTGTACTACATCAAAGAAAAAGGAAAAAAAAAACTTTGTGTGCCTTGTAACAAATTAGCACTACAAAATCTCAGGGCTTTGTATGTATGATTTCACTTTTGTTTGCATACATTGTTTTTTAAAACTGGTTTTGGGAATTTTTATCTATCTACTGCTGTAGATAGCCAAATTCATTACTAAAGCAATAGCATACAACATATAATACTCATATGGAGTATTATACTCATGAGGAGTATTATATTATAATAATATATAATTTGTATATAATATAGTACAACATCATATAATATAATGATATTATAATAATTCACAAGAATATTATATGTAATCTAAAAGGCACATTATATATAGTCTACATCACACAGAAGAAAGCATTATTTTTAAATTCAGACAATTTTATAGATTCAAAAATATAACTTCTTGGGCTGGGAAGGTGGCTCAGTGGTAGAGTGCTTGCCTTGCATGCATGAGGCCCTGGGCTGGATTCCTCAGCACCACATAAGCAGAAAAATCTAGAAATGGTGCTGTGGCTCAAGTGGTAGAGCATTAGCCTTTACCTAAATGGCTCAGGGACAGTGTCCAGGACCAGAGTTGAGGCCCCAACGACCAACAAAAAAAAATCTTTCAAATTAAATATGTAGGATCTTTTTTGTGTGTGGGAGTGTGCCAGTCCTGGAGCTTGAATTCAGGTCTGTTTCTGAGTTTTGTTTTGTTATTTTTTTTCTTATGTCACTTGTGGGGCTTGAACTCTGAGCCTGGGAGCTGTACCTCAGCTCTTCAGTTCAAGCTAAGCACTCTACTACTTGAGCCACAGTGCCACTTCTGGGTTTTGGGTGGTTAATTGGAAATGAGTCTCAAGGACTTTCCTATCTTTCCTGGCTTTGAACCTCAATCCTCAGATCTCAGCTTTGAACCTCAATCCTCAGATCTCAGCCTCCTGAGTAGCTAGGATTACAGGCATGAGCCAAGGGTGCCCAGATTGTTTCTGAGCTGTTTTATTCAAGGCTAGTGCTCTACCACTTAAGCCACAGTTTCATTTCTGACTTTTTGATGGTTAATTTGAGATAAGAATCTCAAAGACTTTCCTGGCCTGGCTAGTTTCTAACCTGAGTACCTAGGATTACAGGTATGAGCCACTGGAGCTAGACCCAGAAATCAACTTTTTAAAACTTAGTTTTCTTATTTTGCAGTTATCACTTGCATTTTTTTCTATTTAGGTATTGTTAGTGTTCATATTTTATACTTCTTTCAGCTTTTAACAATAAGACTTTGTGCGTTTCCCCAAGCTTTATTGATGTGTAATTGACAAATAAAAGTGTATATACTTAATATATACAAACTTGTCTGTACTTAATTTTTGTACATCAAAGAGCTTGTCATGAAAAGTATTAATATGGTATTTTATATGAGGAATAACAACATCCTAAACGAAACTCATTTGTGATAACTTGAAAGTCAGCATATGGTTATGCTAATAAATTTGTAATGTTTCCTTTTTCTCTATTAAAAGTCTTGTACTTAAAAAAGTAGTGCATGTATAGCATATGTTAACAAGGGTGGAAGAAACTGCAACATTCATAGAGATACCTGTAAGGCTGGTTTAGTTGAATTGCCTGAAAATGTTACATTAATAAGTAAATAGTATAGCTTTAGTTGATTATGTTTCAAGAAACAGAATGGTGGACTTCATTAAAGTATATGTGTGTGTATGCATATATACATACATGTTTGTATATTTGTTTTCCAAGCAATTCAAACAGAAATATTGCCAGGGTTATATATGTTTATTCCATGTAAAGTCCATATTTACTTAACACTACATCCCCTCATAATAAATAGATACAAATATTATATAATAAATATATACATATTATATAACAAATATATATACATATGATATAATAAATATATATACATATTATATATTATACATAATATATAATATGGAAATGTGTATATTTGCTTTAAGATGGATTTAGATTCTTAAATAATTGTATCTCCTAGGACTACAAAAAAATGCACTCCAATTATAACAATGACTATTATAGATTTCCAGATGATTATCGTGTTATTTATTACATAAAATTATAACAAAAATTCAATTTCAGATATTGAAATAATAGACAAAACACATGCATATCTAAATGACAGATAGAGGTCTGGGAGAAAATTATGACAATAGGTAATGAAAAAAATCATTTCCTGTGTGTTGTAGGATTCTAAATAAGAATTACGGAAACCATGAGATAGCTCTCTTTCTTTGGTGCTGTTGGGAACAGAGGAGGATTCCCATGGAAGTGCATTTCCATGAGGCCTTGCTGTTTTTACTAGATCCTACATAGTCCTAGCCTGCAGTGAGATTTTCAGCCACAACCCACTGACCTCCTTTCCTTCCCTCCCAACCCTCCCCAGGGAAGCCCTGGATTGGGGGTAGGGTTAGAGGAGGAGTCATATGAAAGGTGTGTGACTGGTAGAGGGGCGGGTCTGTTATGATGGAACAGGGCCAATGGAGTTGCTGTCAAGACTTTGGACAAAATACTAGAAGTAAAGTCCTGGGGAATTGTCTGGGAGATCTTGACACAGCATTTTCCACACAGTATGGTGGTCTCTGCTGTGGTTCTGCCATGTTGGGCCTCTCTCATTTGTGTCCACCAGTACCCAGATTTTTATCCTAGAGGTCATGGGTTCAAGCTCTTCTGTAATTAGGTGAAGTCAGTCCAGCCCTAGGCCTCCATTGCACACAGTTCCATAAAGCTTTTTCTCTCCTGTAGCTGAGGCCTGGGAGGCAACACGCATTTTCCTCTGCAACTCTCAAGGCTCCTAGAGGCACAGAAAATGCCAGGCAGGATTCAAGGGTGGGTGTAAATACGGAAGGAGTAAGAATGAATCCCCTCCGCAGATTCCCACCAGAGGGAGCAGATTCCCACAATCTGGAGCCCTGGGGTACCTTGATAAATCAACTTCTGGAAGATGAACTTGAGTGTGGAGGTGTGCAGTTGAGAGAATCCTGTCATCATGAACTCAGAAACTCAGGGCCTTTACATTCCCAGGGGGCTGTGCAACGTGGCTTGAGCCAGTTTCCAGTTTCTCTCCTCATTAAATTAGTTTAAAGCACTGGCACTCGGGAGAGGGGAATTCTGTAGATAATCAAATAGGTTTATTTAGTTTTTGGCCCTCATTCCTGCCTGCCATGATCAGATTACTTTTCACAGACTAGAGCAGGCTGGGAGGTGGAGGACGGGTGGGCGGGGCTTGGGGAGTGGGGGTGGGGGTACTTTTAAACTTTCAATATGTGTTCACCTTGTGTGGTTGGGTGTGGAAAGCCGGAAAAAAGGGGGGCGGAGGGGGTTCCCAATCGAGTGAAATTCTCATTCCATGGGTATTACTATGCCTGTAGGGCTGGCAGCATTAAATGTTTAGCTAGTCTGCAAATAACTACAGAACACAATAGAGTTCCCCCCCTTCCTTCCCTCTCTCTCTTTTTCTTTTCCTGCTTCCAAGTGCTTTCTTAGAGGCTGGAGCTGGGCAGATCTCCAAAGGTGCAGCAGCCACAACAATCCCGCAGTTACACAACTTGCAGCAACTCTGTCAGCCTGCTGCTAATGAGCTGAAGGCCAGGAACATTGGAGGAGGTGAAGAAGAAGCTTCCAGACCTCCTCCCTTCACCCTAGAAACCCAGGATCCCCTACCTTCAGCCGCAGATCGCGTCCCGATCCAGTCCTGTTCTCTCACAGGACAAACACCAATGGCTCCTTTTGGAAGAAACTTGCTAAAGACTCGGCATAAAAACAGGTAAAGTCAAGTGTGCTGGTGTGATTGTGTGTGTGTATCCTAAATGTGGAAATTTGTGCTTGGTTTCATTAAGATTATGATGAAAAAACTGTTTTGCTTTGAAGGGGGGCACAAAAATCTCAGGGAGTATTGAGCTGCTTCTAATCTGAACATCCAGCTTCTAAGGACACATTCCAGTAGCTAAGCTGACCAGAGCCAGCACAAGGATGTCAAAAATAATGATTAACTTTGACTCTCATTTTCCCTTTTGGTTAGTCTGATTCCACAACTAGTATCAACATTTCCCTATTTGCTGCCCTGAGCGTTTAAAGAACGTCACGGTGGCATGTCAAGCTTCCCTTGGTACAAAGAGAAACGACAGAACGTTAACATGTACAGTTTGATGAAAGTATAGCTAGAATTCAGAGCCACCTGTTGGAATGAAAAATACACAGCTGCCGATAGAGTCAGGAAAAACAAGGTTTGCTTCTCCTGAGAGTGTGGCCATTCCTGAAAACTGGAACTTGGGAAAGTGGTCTTTGGAAGACCACTTCCAAAGACCACTTTCCTAAGGAAACAACAACAACAACAAAAATACTTTGCAGAGAAACTTTTCATGAAATATTTCATTCAAAAATCTTCGAGAATTTTAGATGACTTAGACACTGAAAAAGGATTCAAGTAGCTGATCTCTTTAAATCTTGTATTTCCTAGTCTTCTTTGATTTGATTTGATATGCCAAGCCTGCAATGCTTAAATACATGTACTTAACTATGCACAACACATATACACACACACACACATACATACATATATACACAGAGATCTTCTTAGGCCTATACCTGTGTTTCAGTTTCATTACTTTATTTGCAACTCAAATGTTTAAATGAGGATAATTTTAGAGATGGACTTTATATTTTTAATGTATTTGTTTTGGCAAAGGGGCTTTTCAACCTCTGTCTCTCAATTGTGCCTGTTGGTGCTTGTCATAATTTGCTTAGCATAAATTTAAGCAGATACCATTACATAGTAGGAAATGATATAATTATTTCCAAGTGTCTGCATAACAATATAGTGAAACAAGTTAAGTAAATCTCCATACTTTATTTTGTATAAAAATATCTACTTCAAATATTGTTTTTAATCCATTCTAAACTTAGTAATGATTTTGTGACTAAATTTCCTTTAGAAACTAAACAAACATAATAATAAAAATGCTAGTCACTATAAAATATAAAATGTTATTTATAAAAGAACGATGTTTTCCTATGTATATTTTAGTAAAATTGTTTGTATATTTTTCAAAAGGTGGTTGATGTTTATCAAAAGTTGATTCTTGTTTTAAAAATGACACTGTATTAAAAAAAAATCCAGAAAAGCATCACCCCCTCTTCCTAACTTCTTTTTTTAGATGAGTTTATAGTACTATTATAATAAAATTGGCAATTGTTAAATGTCCTGAAAATATCTAAAAATTTACTCTGGAAAAGTTTATTGTGTTGTTAAACAAACTACATAACTTGTGTTTCTGGCAAACATAAAGTAGATTTAGAGAATTGCCATTTTGTTTGTTTTTAAGCTCCATCTTTATATGCCAAGCAGCAGCTCCATAAAACTTTCCACACACCCCAGGGAGTTTTCCCAGGAAAGTACATCCTCACTTTCATGACATCAATTTTACTAACACCTCCATCTTTTCTATCCATTAAAACTAGTCATCATTCAAAATAAGAAGAGAAACTTTTTTTTTTTTTTGTCAGTTGTGGGGCCTGAACTCTGGGCCTGGGCGTTGTCCCTCAGCTCTTCAGCTCAAGGCTAAAGCTCTACCATTTGAGCCACAGCACCACTTCTGGCTTTTTCTGCTTATATGGTGCTAAGGAATCGAACCCAGGGCCTAATGCATGCAAAGCAAGCACTCTATCACTGAGCCACCTTCCCAGTCCCAAGAGAAACATTTTTAATAGGACATTTTCACGGTAAGTTTTGAAGAAGTGCAGGAAGCAGAAGTACATAGATACTTTAGTAATGTTTTAGGTTTCTTTGGGAAAATGGAACCGTGCTTCTGAAGATGATGCTTTATTATGAAAGGGAGATTCTTGGCCATAGTTGTAAAAATAAGAATATATGTAATCAGCTCTAATAACTGATTACTTCTCTCTGCAGATTTCTTTTTTATTAATCCAAAAGAAAAAAAAAGTTAAATCACAGTAGTGGTGAAAACCATTAAACTACGATTATTCCAAAATGATTAGTGAATGAATCATGATGTTTTGAAATAGACTTTTGGGAGGCATTTATTCTTGCTTGTATGAAGCCTTTTGTGTTTTGTGTTGGTGTTTTTCATCTTCTTAAAGAGGAAATCAGTGAAAATTAATCAGATGATTAAGTTAATCCATTTAAGTTTTCAACATACAGAAATATGATGGATAAAACAAGGAGTAGTGAATTTATAAGAATATAGTCATATACAATATATATGTTAAAATATATATGACCATTGGGGCTGGGAAGGTGGCTCAGTGGTAGAATGCTTGCCTTGCATGCTTGAGGCCCTGGGTTCCATTCCTCAGCACCACATAAGCAGAAAAAAAAAAGCCGGAGTGGCGCTGTGTCTCAAGTGGTAGAGCGCTAGCCTTGAGCTGAGGAGCTGAGGGACAGCGCTCAGGCCCAGAGTTCAGACCCCACGACCAGACCCCCCCCACAAAAAATGTATATGACCATGCTCTATGGATTATATGTATATATAATATATGAATGTATGGACATTATGAATATTATTTTCTGTAGAGCACAAAATAAGCATTTTTAGAGTAAGTAATTTCTGTTTTGTGACATGTAACTTAATGAAAAGAAATAGTTGAGCATAACTGCATCTTCATCAGCACGAAAAGGAATATGTGGATTTGATCATTTTTCTGCATGCATTCACCTCTGTTCACCCTGGACTTAACCTGATTAGGGAACTGTGCAATTGTTCTTATAGTAATGGACTGTTGAGAGTCTTAGAGGTAAACAGGATGCAAATGAAACTTCAAAGAATGAAGCAGAAGAGCTTTTAGAAAACAAGGCTGTAAACTTGAAGAGGGTGTGGCAACATCTGTCTAGACAACATCATGTTTTCATGCCTTCGACGGTGCCTGCCTGGCATGTTGTGGACCTGTAATTCAGCAGTCCATTACATTTTGTAAACTAAATTATAATTTCTATCCAAATGAGAAACACAGTAATTATTTTATTCCTTATTCATCATGTGACGTCAGCTGGTATCTTATAAAACTCAGTATCTTTTAAGGGATTGAATGATGATATCATCCAAAACCTAAGGAGATAATCCCAGGATTGTTTGGATTTTGACATAAAGCTAATTGTTCTCTGCCAGATAATTTATGAAATATCTGAGATTGAAGTTTCAACAATATTCTTCAGAAATTCCCAAGTAATGCTTTTGTCTGTCACAAAATAATTAAATTTGGGCTGGGAAGGTAGCTCAGTGGTAGAGTGCTTTCCTTGGATGTATGAGGTCCTGGGTTCAATTCCTCAGCCCAACATAATCATAAAAACCAGAGGTGTAGATATGGTTCAAGTGGTAGAGCGCTAGCCTTGAGCTGAAGATCTGAGGGAGAGTGCCCAGGCCCAGAGTTCAGGACCCAAGACTAACATAAATAAGTAAATAAATAATATAAACAAAAAAGTAAAGTTGAGCATACCAACTTTTAGACATTTTTCTCAAACTTTCTTATAAATAAAAATACATAGAGGCAGTTTAAAGATTTTAAGGTGTACATTCAGGATAAATCATTTTAAAGGTTGATTATAGTAATGGTTAACTACAAGAATACATCTTTCAAAGTTTCTTGGTCTTAGGTAACATATTGTTTATTTTGGTTCCAGACAATAGAATGTTCTGATTGAAACCTGAAAACTGATGCATATTTTGTTATTAAGAGCTTTGGTCAACATGAAGAATAAAAATGGTGAACAGTAGAGCTAGTTTGTTCAACAAATTATTCACATTTCTAAATATGTTTTGTTCCATCAGTTACTAAACAGCTATTGCTTCTTACATATAACTCAAGTGAATAGTAATGGAACACTAATGCATTTTATATTCTTTTTTGATTTTCATTTTTTGTCAGTTATGGGGTTTGTACTCAGGATATGGGCATTTTCCCACTACCACTCTGAGCCACTATGGCACTTCCGGTTTTCTGGTGGTTAATTGGAGATAAGAATCTCACAGATTTTCCTGCCCGGGCTGGCTTTGAACCAGGATCCTTTGATCTCAGCCTCCTGAGTAACTAGGATTACAGGTGTGAGCCACCAGTGCCCAGGTATGCTTGATATTCTTGTGAATGTTCAACAATGGAATTTACATTATTAACTTACTTAGCTATTCACACAAGTTCCATTTCTTGAATGTATCACAGGATTTTAGGAACAATTCTCAAAGCTCAGACACAGAATATTCCTATAATGCGTTTTGGAACTCTAGGTTTTCAGACATTATATTATATTTCAGACATTATATATATTATATATATACATACATACATATATATGTCATGATATATATGTATATGTATACATATATATGTTTTTATACATATATATGTTTTTATTTTAGTTTTTCTCTTTTCTTTTTTTCTTTCTTTCTGATTTTTTTTCTGAGATTGTCTCTATGTAGCACAAGCTGACCATGAACTCAATATCCTCCTGCCTCAGCCTGTTGAGTGCTAGGAATCTAGGCAAGGGCTACTTGGCTCCAAGAAAACATCTAATGGAGTTGATTAACTACATTTAGAAGAAAGATAACTGTTGGAACTTTTGCCACACTTTCCTAGAAAGCAAAATTTATCATAATGAAGCCACATTCCTTGGATCTGTCAGAAATACAAATTAGAATATTTTCTGTGAAGTGATGTGTTTGAATTATTTGTTCTTTCCCTCTTTTCCTAAATATGTGAATGTATATGCTCTTGGTAATAAGAAGTATAATAATCTATAGTGTCTTCTTTCTGAAA